TGTGTGTGTGTGTGTGTGTGTGTGTGTGTGTGTGTGTGTGTGTGTGTCATGAGGAATAAAGAAGGGTCAACTTCCAGTCTAAAGTCTCCATTTAATGCTGAATCTACAATATATTGCCCGTTTCTTGCCATTTAGTTGATGATCACTTATCCCCAATTTTTCTACATAAGCTACTTAATTTTTCTGTTTTTTTTTTTCCCTCAACTGTCAGAATCTTCCCAACCCCTTTAAAGGGACAGTCCACCCAGAAATACAAATTTGTCCTTTAACCTGTCGTGCGATTCATCAATCCGGATGCTTTTTTGCAAGAAGCCGAGTGCCATCTCGTCCCATTGTGTTGGAGAGAAGGCAGACATCTCTTCAACACTCCCTCCCCCATTAAAGGGTGTTTTCTGGGGGGTAGTTTCTCCCTTTGAGGGTCCAAGCGCAGAGGAAGTCGTGTGCTCGACAGATTGTAAAGGCCTCTGAGGCCAACGTGTGATATTGGGCTCTACAAATGCATTGAATTGAATAGAATAGAAATCGATAAATAGTTACATTTCCACATAAAATGTTCATTCTTTCAAATAAAATTGTCATATTCAGAATACTAGTGGAACATCAGTGTGCATATAAAGCTATAATGTATCATTGTCCATTGTGTCTCCTCATCAGACTAACTGATCTATATGTAACTCTTCCCTTGTGGCCTCTCAAACACCACACACTCATTCTCTCAGTTGCGGCTCGTTAGCGCCGTTTAGAAAACCTTTTCCGCCTCATTTGATTCTCTGCCCGTCTCTGCCGCATTGACACAAAGCTGAGCGACTGCGCCCTACGGTGGACATGACACCCCCGCCTCCTTCAGGATTCGCAGCTAAACACCAACCCCCCCCCCCCAAGCTTTCTTCTTCCTCTCATATCCGTCAGGTCGGAGCTGTAAAGTCGCAAATTGCACTTATTTCTCCTGCGGGGAAAAATAATGAGCCACAGCATGTAAACAAATGTCAGAGGAGACGCAGGGAGACACCGTTTTTTAGGGATTTCAAGACCATATTTAGGCCTTGATGTCTTGAAACGATACAGGAAGTGGTTCTTTTTAAGGCTGATTCTCGCCATCAACCAATCGTCTCTCCTTCCTCTCTGTCGTTTTCCTCAGGCGTAGACCAGCATGCCGTTGGTGAAGAGGAACATTGAGCCCCGGCACCTGTGCCGCATGGCATTGCCGGACGGGGTGACCAGTGAGCTGGAGTGCGTCACCAACAGCACCCTGGCAGCCATCATCAAACAGCTGGGCAGTCTGAGTGAGTATCCTGTGGTTCAAGCACCAAGTATGATTATACAAATGCAATCACTAATAAAACGCAGATTATCCTGGAATTTTGCTGCGTTTTCTGCCATTTTATAAGCATTTTTTTGGAGCTTCCCAACATCTTTATGTTGGGTTTGCCGGTGCATCACCTAACAGGCTAAATATCTGACCTGTTGGGGAGCTACAGCCAGTGAGAGCGCAAGACACGCTTAGACGGGAGGTTTAGGGGAGGGGTCGCCTGTTAGCCATGAAAAAAATGGAGGTTTCTTAAGGCTCTACTAAAGGCCTGGTCACACCAATATTTTATACCTGATGCAGTGTTTTTGCATGAACTTTAAAATTTGCATTATTGACCAATAACCACCTTGAAGGTGCAGAACTTCAAAGGGGCCGGAGAGTCCGTAATAGAGGAAGCTGTCGTTCCTCATTAGCTGTTTATTTAACCGCAGGAGTCGATGGTACAAACGCATGTTTTGAATAAACTGTATGAACTTATTGTCCCAGGTTTGCTAACTGGCTGTTAGCATGCTAACACTTAGCCATACAGCTAGAGAATCAGAACTTCCTGCACATTTGATCTGATGACACAGAAACCCACCACTCTGTGTTTGCAGCACACAACAGTAGGTCACACGCGCGCCCGACACGCCCCTACAATATGTTGTTAGCAGTCGGATCACGATGCGTCGTCTTCTGGCATCTGAGGTGCAAATGAACGCAGAGCTACGTTCTTGGCGTTTAAGTGAACGAGGCCGCGTCTGTGTTTCAGCAGCTCATAACGAACCTGCGTCAGATTAGAGATCATTCAGTGGAAACGTGAAGGGAATGAATAAAAACAACAGATCTGTTTAAACATGATTAACATTTCGGGACTGAATTAAATTCAGCGACAGCTCGCTGTGAATGAGCGAGTGCTCTGCCTCGGCTCCATCTGTCGTGTCGTGGGCTGAGCGTGTGTGTGTGTGTGTGTGTGTGTGTGTGCGTGAGACAGAAAGGTCCTTTAAAGTATTAAATTCGACAACTGCATCGACGACATTTGTGGATTTCTCCTCTGACTTCTGACTTTCTGTGGGTTTTTTCTTTGCCTTTATGTCCTCCAGGAGGATCACGCCTGAGACAGTGTTGTTTGTATTTAACTTTGCACGGCGGCTGGATTCTCGCAAAGGTCACATGATCATGCGAGAATTGTGGATTATCACTCCAAAATCCATGTCATCAGGCTTCAAGTAAAGCGTTTGTGTCTGGACCAATCAGCATCCTGTGAGGAGCTACTGGCAGCTAGGGGGCGGGGCTTAGGCGACTGTTTGTTGTAAACAACAATGGCGGCTCCTGAAGAGGTTAGATGCTGCAGTAGCATCAGTTACATCAGGACTGGAGAGTTGACTGGAGAAAGAAGAGCAGAGAACGACACTAAAGGCTTTTCTGGCTTTGGCAAGAGTTTGATTGACAGATGGTTCATCCAATCACTTGAGCCTGCCCTTTTCCATCTGGATGGTCAGACACACCTGGAGGAGATCTGTACTCTACTGAGAGCACCTCTTCTCGCCGCTGTTGCAACACTTTTATCACTCTGAATATGGCTAGAAGCTCAGCGTGTGAATGCACTCTGCTAACGTTCCCAGAATGAAATAAATACTGTTGAGCTTCGGTCTGAAAACTAAACCTTGTGTTGGTGTGCCTCTCTCTCTCTCTCTCTCTCTCTCACTCTCTCTCTCTCTCTCTCGTTCCTCGTCCAGGTCGCCATGCGGAGGACATTTTCGGGGAACTGTTCATCGAAGCCAACAGCTTCTACCTGAGGATGAGCAGCCTACAGGAGAGAGTGGACCAGCTGGCCGTGAAAGTCACCCAGCTCGACTCCACCGTGGAGGAAGGTAGGGACCACGTGTGTGTGTGTGTGTGTGTGTGTGTGGCCCTTTAAAGGTCATCTGTCCCAGATCATTCTGATGAGTGCTGTCTCAGGTGTTTTCTGTCTTTTTTTTTTTTTTTTGTTCCAGTGCTACGGATCATTGCACGTCTTGTAGTTAGAGAGCTGTGTGTGTGTGTGTGTGTGTGTGTGTGTGTTGGCATGAGCACACACTGGTAGGAGGTGTGTATGTATCTGAGAGCGTTGTTATTAATGTTTTGAATCTTTAAGCCTGTTCTTGTGTGTTTTTGTGCAGATGTGTGTGTCAATGCTTACCCCTGCAGCATTGCTGATTATTTATTGATAAAGCGTCTCTGCAACAGTCATGTTGTTCTTTGTGTGTGTGTGTGTGTGTGTGTGTGTGTGTGTGTGTGTGTGTGTGTGTGCGCAACCAGTTCCATCTTCTTTGTTTGTCTTCTTCATCCTTGTAGCATTATCTCCATATATGTGTGTCTAGGTGTGTGTGTCTGTGTTTGCGTGCTATCTGAGTGTCTTTAGTGAACAGAAAGACACACTCCAGTTGTGTGTGTGTGTGTGTGTGTGTGTGTGTGTGTGTATATATACACACACAGTCAGAGCCATTACCATTATCTCCATCATTAAGCTTTTCACTAACTCTGAAGGTCAATCTTTGATAATTGATAGGCCTACACACACACACACACACACACACACACACACACACACACACACACACACACACACA